TGCTGCACCTAAACTTTAAAGCCAACTGTCTGGGAGAAGCAGCAACAATCCTATTCAAGCAGCTTTGAGGGAGTCATGTGACTTCATTTTTTATTCTAATCTACCTGATTCATGCTAACCTCTTCACTTCACAGGTGTTAACAACTCTCTATCCTTTTTCATGGACATTTTGATGTTTCACTCTTCAAACTTTCTTCTGCAGTTCTGCTGTTAGCCATTCCTAGGTACTGTCTCTCTTCCATTTCACAGCCCTGCAGACTATTTTTAGATAGATCTTAAAACCTTAATTCTGGTGTGGTAATATTAACTCATGTGTAGAAATGACTGCCACTGAAGTGTTGGGGGTACTGTGAAGACACTCAAGATGATGAGGTTTCCTTTTATTAATCTGAGTAAGAGACATACATTTAACTATAATGACTCTAGGAATAATGAAATTCTCTGTTGACTATTTTTGCCTAGTTTGTACTTTTAAGCTCTATATATAATCTAGGAAAGGAGTGCACATGCCAATAATGTTATTTCTTTTTGTTTTGAGTTTCTACTGAATAATTCATAGATTCATAGATGTTAGGGTTGAAAGGGACCTCAGTAGGTCATAGAGTCCAACCCCCTGCCCTGGGCAGGAAAGAGCGCTGGGGTCAGATGACCCCAGCGAGGTGCTTGTCCAGTCTCCTTTTGAAGACCCCCAAGGTAGAGGAGAGCACCACCTCCCTTGAAGCCCATTCCAGATTCTGGCAACCCTTACTGTGAAGTTCTTTTTAATGTCCAACCTAAATCTGCTCTCCATCAAATTGTTCCTAATTACTCCAGGGGGTGCCCCTATCCCCCCCCCCCCCCCCCTGATGATTTTATAACCAGCCACAAGATCACCACTCAGCTTTGTCTTGCGCAGGCTGAAAAGATCTAGGTCCACCAGTCTCTCCTCATAGGGCCTTGCCTTCAGGCCTCTGATCATACGAGTGGCCCTCCTCTGAACCCTCTCAAGATTCTCCACATACCTCTTGAAGTGCAGTGCCCAAAACTGGATAGAGTACTCCAACTGCGACCTGACCAGTGCCACATAAAGGGGAAGCATCACCTCCCTAGACTGATCGTCATGCATCTACTAATGTATGATAAAGTGTGGTTAGCCTTGTTGAGCACTTTGTCATATTGACAACTCATGTTCATCTTAGAGTCAACTATGACTACAAGATCCCTTTCAACTGCTGTGCTACTGAGAAGGTCATCCCCCAACCTGTAAGTTTGTTGGTGGTTCTTTTTGCCCAGGTGTAGCACTTTGTACTTGTCTTTGTTGAATTGCATCCTACTTCGTTCTGCCCATTTTTCCAACCTGTGAATAGCACCGGTCCAAGGACCGAGCCTTGCAGGACTCCACTGCCCACATCTTTCCAGGTCAATATTGACCCATCCACCACCACTCTCTGGGTGCAACCCCTAAGCCAATTTGGCACCCACCTGACCATGTAATCATCTACATCACAGCCTGTTCATTTATTTACAAGAACAGAATGCGATACCGTATCAAAGGCCTTCTTAAAGTCTAGGTAGATGACATCTACCTCATCTCCTGCATCTAAGCATTTTGTGACCTGGTCATAAAAAATAAGGTTAGTCAAGCAGGATCTACCTGTAATGAACCCACGCTGATTTCCTGTCAGCATTATTTCCCTTGCTGGGCTCCCACACACGTGATCCTTAATGATTTTTTCCAGAGTTTTTCCAAGGATAGAGGTGAGACTAACTGGCCTTCCTGGTTCATCCCTCCTCCCCTTCTTGAAAATAGGGACCACATTGGCCCTTTTCCAGTCCTCTGGGACCTGACCGGAGCACCGTGAGTGCTCGAACAGCCGCGCCAGTGGCTCTGCTATGACACTGGCCAATTCCTTCTGCACCTTTGGATGAAGTTCATCCGGGACCACTGATCTGAACACATCCAGCCCCTCCAAGTGCCCCTTTGCTAAGTCTGAGCTAACAGTTGGTGGGCTGGTTTCCCTCCTGTGTCTATCTATGATCCAGTTGGAAGATTTGTCTTGGTCTGTGTCTAGGAATATAGATGCAAAAAACTCATTGACCAGCTCAGCTGTGTGATTGCTGTCAGGGCTGATGTAGGGTTTGGCTCCTACCATATTTGTAAGGTTTCTTGTTTCTTTTTAACTGGAGAAAAATCTGTTATGTTATGTGATAATGTGTCACCAGATCTGCACCCCCCCTTCTCAAAATCCTGATCTACCCATGAATATAAGGTCCAATATATTAACCAAAGTGCATACGTGCACACACACACAAATCCCCATTCCTACAAGCAAAACTTTTACCAAGCTATGAGCCAAATAAGCATGCCACCAAACTCTTAATTCCAATAAAGGATGAGAGAAAGTTCCAATGGTGCAGATCCTGTCTATCAGTAAAACTGTGCCAGAACATGGTGAATTTAACTGATACAAAAGCTTCCCAGCCATTTAGAAAGACTTGTATTGATACCAAAGGGGAGGAGGGGTAGCTGCCATGAGTAAATATAAGATGAGAGGTAGTCACTCAAGGCATGGGCCTCGAATCATTCAGTTTTCAAAATAGGCACCAGTACCTGCAAGTTCATCCAGGAACAAATAACTAAACAAAAACTAGTATAGAGCTAGGTATGCCAGTGTTCTGTGTTCAGAAGCATTATCATAACATACCAGGCAAGCAGGTGAATTCTGCATTGACACAAAAGTTTTGGTGATATATCTGTGGAATTAATTTGTTGCTGAGAAGTGACTAGGTGAGGATGATTTGCATAAAAAACTAATACCAATACACATGAAAAAGTTACGCCAAGCTATCATATACTATGGCTAGGTACAGTTCAGTGAGGTTAGATCATGTTAAAAATTGGCCATCGAATCTAACTTACTTCACCCCAGTGCGAACCTTACCCTTAGATTGGGAATCAGGTGGATCTGAGTGAGGGGAATTATTCACCTGGGGGTAGGGGGTCAGAGATCTAAAATAGCCCCAGGACCCTGGGAGGGGGAGACAGCCCTCTATCCTAAACAACACCCCCATAGAGCCACCAGCCCCGCCAGTCCACCCACCCCTTCCACCACCCTGTCTTACTCCCTTCAGACTTCCAGGACTGGTGAATGCCAGTAAAACTGACTCTGGGAGCAGTTTGTGCAATCAGGGGAAGATCAGCAGCATGCGGGGGGAGGAAGCTCTGCAAGACTGAGAGCCTCTCTGATCCCACCAACCCCCCACCCCCCTAATACCCCCTATGGACTCTTCTAGCTCCCCCAACCCTGCCAAACCCTCCCAGACCCCACCAATCCTCCAGCAGACCCCACTTGCCCCTCAAACTCCCCAACAACTCCATGGAGACCCCACTTTCCCCACTGATCCCCCAAAACCCTCTTGCTAGCACCCTCTCCTGACTTACCTTAATTGGGTGATGATTTTTATCTCAATCTAACCTCCCTAAATGTCTGTACGTACCCTATATTTCATTAAGCCATATACTTTAAGGGTGCTATTTTAGAAAACATACTATATCCTTAAACCTCTTAAACCAGGTGGTCTCAGAAGGTACAGATGGAACAAAGGAAAATTAGAACTATCAAATTTATTTTTCAAGTGTATTTATTAAAAAGGATGTAGAAAATTTAGTCTAAGTTTCAGCCAAAACATCTGTCTTTTAGATTTTAAAGTACAGCAAATACAGTTTGTAGAAAAGCAAAATTATTCTGTTTAAGTCTAGAATGCAAGACTAAAAATTAAAATTAAAATATATACTTAAAAAAGTAAGTAAAATCATACTTCTCAAGAAAAAGAGTATATGATTTACCAAAAAACAAACAAACAAAAAACGCCCACAATTTCTTACCTCTGTTTATCTCTTCTGTTTCAGCAGCAAAGATGACCTCAGTTATTTGGGTTACATCTTTATTAATAGAAGATAACCTTTAAAAAAAATTAAAAAGCATACTATCATTTTTTATCTCAACTTGTAACTAAGCCTGCAAAAACAAACAAGAATATATTAACTAAAACCAGGCTACAGCCAATGTTGCAGTTGATGGAAGGTTGCTGGAAAATCCCTATTAATTGTAAAGAAGATGATAATTTTATTTAGTTTATAGCAGAAAATAGCTCTTCTTATGATGGTGAATGGAAAAGTAGTGTTGAAACCTGCAACTCCCTGCCTTTCCAAACAGGGGATATTAGTAAGTTACTGCTGCCTGAAAGAGAACTGTAAAAGTAACTGCAAGGGAGACTAAGTACTTCAGTGAGGAGGTTTCACATGAGAACACCATGTAGAAAGCAGTCAGCAGCCCCAGCTTTCCTTTGTGGGGTGAATACAGGGCATCACCTGCCTGCTAAACCAGGGACCAGGTGCACTTTCCCTGCCTCTGCTCAGGGGTGGCAACAGCTTCCTGTCAGAGAAGTGGAGCTGAGTAGGTCTCCTTGAAGGACAGGATCAAATTTAAGCATATGATTTATTACACAGACCATCTAACTTCATGGAAATCAGCCATTTTCTCCTCAGATTTATTGCAGATTATTATTTGAATGGGGTTTTTTTAATTGAAGATGCGATTGAAATTGCTGAAATACTTTAAAATATCACAAACTATGCGAGGGCTGTGAAGCTGGATACGGGAGTCCAGCAGGGACCCAAAGGAATCATCTCATCTTCATCTGGGTGAGCTGGACCCCCAACTATATAAACTGATGAAGCCTACAGGTGGCAACCAAAGGGTGCTGGCCACTCTGTAGGCTTGAATTATTTTTAGTTTGACTTGGTTTTAATAGATTACTAACTTATGTAAGATTTGGTTGTAGTACTTATTTCATTATTCAGTAACTGGTCCTTTCAGCAGTATCTGTTCATCAGTTGGTCTGTAAAGATCATGTTTTAGGAATGGAAGTCCTAGGTTTGGGTAATAGGTTTATAACCAAGAGGTTTATAACTGAGAGACTTGGGGGGAGTCTGGCCATTGTAAATATATATAATCATGAGTCTGTCTATAATGGAAGCACCTCTTCTCTCTGTAGCACCTCGTCTCTATATTCTTGCTGTCAGTAAACAGAGATCCATCTATGCAATTGAAAGTTGCAAAATGTATTGTTAAGAAAGGCCTAAAAATTACCTCTTCCTTTCAACCCATTTACATCCCCCAATAACAGTCCAATGATAGAAATTTAAATGAGGCACCAGAAGAAAAGGATAAAGAAGAAGAAAATTTATTTTTACCACATAACTAGCTGTAGGTAAAGGAAAAGGGAAATGTTTACATAAATCTACACCTACCCCTTGAGTGAGAGGTTTTAATTCATTCCCTGGCTCTGTCCTTCCAGGAAACAGGACCTGGATACATGAAACAGCCCTACAACAGGAAACTGAAGGCAACAAGGATGCCTCAGATTGTCAAATCCTCCCAATTATCTCTTACGTCTATAACTGTTGTTATGATAAAAACAAGTGAAGAAATAAATATTCATTTACAAGTGGAATTAACAGCAATGAAGAAATTAGTCTGTGACTCTAAGTCACACCTAGAAGCACATGATATTTTACTAAAAGCAATTGATGGAAAATTGATAAACAACAAAACTTTAAAGCATGTGTCTAATAAAAATATAACTCTGAATAGTGAGGATTTTATTACAACTGATAAACTGACAGAGTCAGTCTCTGATCAACAACACCTCTTCCTCTATTTATTTATTTATTATTTTTTATTAAGCATAGCTCTATTAGAGACAAAAAACAAAAGATTCAGAGGGCAAAATATTTTATTATTCAACTTTTATCCACACAAGAGAAAGAGCTCTTTTAGCATGGAACAGACAATCGTACGATTTTTAGCCAAAAGATTTAACATTTCTCTTCAGCTACATAACATTATTTATGTATGCAGGTGGCAGTCCTCAAGAGGATCTTCCCAAGCGTAGGTGTTAGGAGTTTATATATTAAGCACCTGGTGATAATTGTCGCAGCCAATTGTTTTCCCAATGGGGTGGAAATTTTTTAAAAAGATGCTCTACCTCTTCAAAAAGGAAATGCAAAACTCTGGAACTCTTGGTTCAGAGATGATACCTTTTATTAGACCAACTAAGAAATCACAAAAAAATGCCCTTTCTTAGTTGGTTTAATAAAAAGGTATTATCTCTGAACCAAGAGTTCTAGAGTTTTGCATTTCTTTTCTGTCTCAGACCAACACAGCTACCAAATACATCCCCCTACCTCTTCAAAGTAAGGCATATTCCTACCAATGATTGTCTTGCTCCTGTATCTATGGACTCAAGACATTAGCTAGGCCCTAAGGAGAAGCAAATTGCTTCATTTTTAAGTAAGTTTGGTATTTTGGTTTGAAATATAGCTGGGTTGACAAATAAATTATCTGACCTATTGTGGAGAAGTTTTATTAATGATCTAGATATTGTGATTTTACAAAAGATGTAGTATGGGAAGATAGTATTCCTTCCTGGATTTTTTTTTTTTTGTTCTATAAAAATGGCTGCAAGGAAAAAACCAAAGGGCAGTTTCAGGGGGACTTAGTTACTTTCCTCTAAAGGTGTTTGATTGAGGGAGTAGAAATTGAATTAGAGTATAACTAGCTATACGCTGTCATCATTAAATTCTGTGGTGCAACTCCCTTAATTCTGGTTAATATTTACTTCCTACCATGTATATCAAGGACTGATGAAGTCTTAAAATGAGAATTGCTACATAAAGCTATTGAGAGAATCAGAAATAAATTTCCAGAGTTAGGAATAATAATAGCAGGTGATTTTAATGTTAGAATTGATGGCACTGATATCTAGGATAAAGAAGAAATAATAAATTAAATATGGGGAATCCTCCCAGCAATCTTAAGCGATTTAGAATGCTTAACAGACAGACTGGAAAGGGTATAAATGGGGCATTCACCTTTGTTACAACTAAAGGAGCAAGTGTGATAGACTATAGACTAGTAGAATCACATATGTGGTGTAAGTGTAAATCATTCAAAATTCTCCCGTGTGTGGAGAGGAGAGTGACCACTTCTCCCTCTCTCTCAAAGTTCCTTTAGAGTTTTATAAGGATTCTTCCCCATCTGCTATACAAGTAGCCCCTAGATTAGAAGTTCTTGACAAGAAAAGAACTAAATGAAATAATGAGTTAAGAGAAAAATGTGTTGCTCTGTCAAAAATACTCTCTCAGGCCATTCATCTCAAATTCTTAAAGAAAATGAAAACAAAAAAAATTACTCATTATGAAGCAATTATCAAACATCCGAAAAATGCTCGAGCATCTTTGAAGGAAACAGGTGCTGGTAGCATAAACCATGGTTTGATGAGGACTGCTCTAAAGCTAAAGACTTTAATAGAAACATTGGGGGAAGACAAGTCAGAAACAATACAATTGTTATTGAACAGGTCAATAGGAAGATCCCCTCAGAATTACATTTTAGAAGCCTCTTCTCTTCCAAAAAAGTCATTATTTGGATGGTTAAATAACATTTTGTTTCCAAGACCATTTGTTTGAAGTAGAATAATTCTCACAGCCACTTACCCAATACTAACTTTATATTTAAGACATGGTATAAATCAGGGATAGGCAATCCCTGGCGCCCATGCCAGAGCATGACATGCAAAGGTACTTTGCTTGACACACATACCTCAGGGCAGACAGCAGCGGAGCAGCTAGGGGCCTGATCTTTGTTGTGGCAGTATAGTCCTGACCCCTTCCCCGCCAACCACTTAGAGGCACACATGCACCAACCTCCTGCAACAAGCCAGGCGGGGGCCCTGCAGACCCTGGTGCAGCTGCTTGCAGCCTCCCCACCACCTGCTGCAAGCATCCCAAACTCCATGGTGGGTAGCAGGGGCCTGACCAGAACCCGGGCTTGTTATGGCAGGCAGCTGGGAGGCTGCAAGTAGCTGCACTGGGGTCCACAGAGCCTAGGCCGACTAGTTGCTGGTGGCAGGCGCATGCGTGCCTCAGGATGGACAGCAGGGAAGGAGCTGCACTGCTACAAAAAGAATCAGGCCCCTTGCAGCTCCCCCGCCATCCACCCCTAGCATGCCAACATCTTACATGTTGAGGTTGCAGGTGTTTTTGGCATTATGACCAAAAACTGCCAACTCCTGATATAAATGAAGGTGCCAGCATGCAGACAGATATGCAGACAGTGAGATCTTCTCAAAAGTCTCCTTTTTTAAATTAATAAAGCACTCTTTTTTAGTCTACATATACACCTATCCAACGTACAGAATTACAATGAGAGGTCATTACCAGATTAGAATTCACTCAAAAGAGATGTGCAGTCATTACAGGCAGGTGGTGTCAGTCCCCATATACAAACAAGATATATTCCTACAGAAAGAATGACATAGATAGACTGTTTAAATTACTATTTGTCATCTTCCTCATTTTTTTTAAGAAATAAGAGGAAGATGGATGTCTTCATTGGTGGAAAATTTTATATACTGGGCTAATGAGGAAAAAAACAATTTGGCTCCTCTCTAATAAATTACAGCATTACTTGCACTCAGACTGAGGGCCAAAATCAAGTAAAATTACCCTGCTTTTATTCTTTTACTCAACTATTGTACATTGCATCTATTTTTGTATCATCTTATAGTATGCTCTTTAATTTGGTTTAAATTTGTTGAAACTGTAATCTTATTGTATGTTTTTACCAATAACCATAATTTATATAATGTGATTATTATAGTATTGATAGATATAATTTTATTATCAATTTGACTGATGTGTTTTAGCAAAAGCTGTAAAAACAAACAAACCCCCAAACCTGAAATAACTACTAAAATTACTACAATTAAAACTAATTTTCCCACTTGCTTCTTTACAGCAACACTTCTTTCCATCACAATAGTGAAATGAAAATGTTTCTAATATAACCATCATGTTTCAGATGCCTAGCTGTAAAGTTTTGCATCAGGCTGCAGAGTGGCATAAAAGATCTAGAATTAGGGTACATTTTCATTTGTACAAATTTCCAAATATCTCTCTTCAGCATTTCCTAGCAGGCACAATGTAAGTCTTCTTGGTTGCTGGGCCAATTGTATTTTTCAGGAACCAAATTATTCACTTGAAGGAAAACAATGTTAGGAGAATCCTGAAATTAAAATGCAAAAGAAAGAAAGAAAGAAAAATGCTTACACATGCTGTATTTTTATTCTACCAGTTCATGTATACGTGTTCGCTCATTTGCATTTTTTGTCCTTCAGACTGGATTCTGGTCCCTTTCCTTAATAGAGAATCACCCTCTCCGGTGGCCTATAAAAACAGTGGGTGCCTGTACCTGAGCATGGAGGCTGCTCTGACACGCTGTAATTGCAGTGCGTCAGCGCACACTTGATTGAGTCTGCTGGGATGTGGCAATTGCTGCGCTCCAGCAGCCTCAGCGTCTCATGTATTCAGCGTCCCCACGCTTCAAAAACTGCATGAGGGGCACTTGAACTAAAGCTTGAACGAGCTTTAGTTCAAGCACCCTCGCCGCCATTTTGAAGTGCAGGGACACTGATACACAGCGGCACTTCAATTCAAGTGGCTCTCGGAGCTGCTCTAATTAAAGTACCACCCTCACCCCGGAAAAAGTGCCCAGTTGGTCCATTTGGAGAGGAAGCTACTCTCGAGTCTGAGGGCATCAGAACATGGGCTTTGATTTGATTTTGAAAATCGTATCTCGATTTTCTTTAAATGTACCACCAAATACGTTTAAAAGCATATTTATTAAGAACCTAGACCGATGCTATTTTAACGGCATCTTATTCTCTAGGACTTCTGCTGCAGCTGTTCATTTAGATTCCAGGGAGGATCCTGGCTGGCCTCAAATACCTTCTCCTAAAGGACTGTGTTTTATAAGAAGTTAGTAGCTCTTAGCAGCATTTCATACAGCCTACAAATGTCCTATCACCTCTTCACGTGCAGCTCCTCCTCATCGAGGTCACTCTCAGTTACTGAGCCCTCCACTATTGTCTCATCGCTGTCGCTGTCAGACAGTTGTGCTCCTGCCCTCATGGCTCCTCTCTCCTCAGAAACCACTCCTCTCCTCACTCCTTCCCCTCAGGCAGCTCCTCCCTGCCTCCAGGCACCACATCACAAGCGGGGAAGGAAGAGGGGTTGCACTGCCTTCTGGGAAGCACCGGGCTCAGGGCAGCCACCACAGCGAAGCTGACAGGAGCGGGAAATACCAACCTCCTCAAATGGCAGGGAGTAGTAAGAACTGCCGAAAGTGGCAAGAAACCTCGAGAAAGTGGGAGAATCAGTTGCTTTCCAGGCATCAGACAAACAAGTGCAGGCCCCAGGCACACAGGATGAACCCAAGGCTTGATCTTTCCTTGTAGCCTTTGGGAATCAGACTGTTCATCAATGATGCAGGGTAGTTAATTCCTCTCACAAGATTGGTCTAGGCCTATACAGGGTCTCTGGGATCAAGTGTCCACCCCCTGCAGGGATGAGATTATGTGAAGACCCCCTCACCAGTTACCGTCTTTCCTGCTTCGACTCTTCTCCATCATCACGCGCTTCCCAAGAATTCACCAAGCACAAGGCGTATTTGCCCCCAGCATTTTGCCCATTTGCTAGTTTGTAACATCACCCATATTTCCACAATGAAATGCATCTGCTCTCCTCAGCAATTTACCTTACACCATGTTTATGATGATATAGTCATGCGACACTTACATAATACGTGCCTCCTTAATTAACACGTCTTTCACATTTATAGGGTAATTAGAACAACTGAACCTAGGCAAATACAATAATAAGATAAGCAGAAAAAACAGTTTATGAAGGTTTACTGTAAAACAATAGAAACCATGGTACTGGCTTATAGTATTAGCACCCCATTATATATACTATTTATTTTTTTTAATCAGACAAAAAATGATGGGATACACAAATTCTGCTGACTCCCACTCTCTTGAACTCAAGCCACTGAGAGAGATCCCACTTCTCTCCAAATAACTCTGGGCGGACAATGCCACAATCCCCATGTTCCCCACCCACAATCCCACCTCAAAACATTCAGTATAAGCAGGGGGAAAGCAGTATTTATATATATATATTTTTTTTTTTTCATTTTAAAGTTGGAGAAAGACAGTATCTCCACTCAAAGATGTAAGAGAGTCCCTGCTTTCTGAAGCCTCAGCTAATATTAGCACAAAAAAGCTTACTTAGTACAGTGACTGGTGTAATAAAATAAATAGTAAGTTTTATACTTCTACCATGACATGTAGTGATTACTCCTACTCCCGTTGATCACAGTGGTACAACACAATTTAACTCTTTATTCACAAAATACATAATTTGTGGCCTTGGGTCAGGCATACCAGAAAACTAAAATAGGAATGATTAGTCAGAAAGAGGGAGAGGAAAGCAAGACTTTCATTCAAAATCCAGACAATTACATATGTAAAAAAGTACATATTTATATACCTCACTTATGTGTACAGTTACTGTACAGAAAATCACCATTTTGTTTCTAAATGGATATTTCCATGTGAAAAATGTAGTAACTGCCACACAAATTATGTGCACCATCACCCAGCTGACAAACAAGACCAGCATTAATTTGTGAGGGAAACAAGCACTTTGTATTTTGACAAAACAATATACTGCTCAAAAGGATTATATTTTCTAAGGAACATAGACCCCCAGAAGCCTGAACACTGCCCTATTCTAATTTTAGATTATTAGACAGATTGATGCTCAGACTTTCTGTTAAACTTCCTTACTATAGCGGAAGAATAGACCATAGTGAACCAATATAGTATCTCTTGCTGGTTTTAATTTACTGTAGTTCCATCTAAACACTTTTAGATTATATAGCATCATATACAAAAATGAAAATCTAAAAACAACTTTTACTACTGAGCAGCCAGAAATCCTTGTAGAATCAACTTAAAATATAAAACTTTCCAAAGCTATTGCATCAGCAGTGTTTGTACTGTTTCCATCAGCGTGTGAAATCATGAAATGTAAAGCTCCACCCTACAATTCTTGTGTTACAATCACCCTTCCTCCAACAAAGAAGGCTGGATCAGTGCCAAGCAGTCATTTAAACACTTCCTTTTTGGTGGTAGAAAAAGGGGACATCTCCCCTTGGAGCAGCAAAACTCTGGCCGCTATTTCTGCACTCTGCCCTGCCACCACCCAGGGCACCATGTGCCGCTGCTGATGCTCTGCCCCCTCCACTGTCAGGGCTGGACCCACAGCTGCTTCAGGGAAGGTTGGAGGGAGTGGGTAGAGTGGAGGGAAGGGAGGTTGGAGTATCCCCCTAGCTCCATTCCACTACCTTCTCCTTAGGCAGTAGCACCCAGGGCTTGTGCCCCGCTTGCCCACCCATCAATATGCTATTGCTGTACAGCAAAGTGTCTAGCCAATACCTAAGTCCTATTAGGATCTACAGAATATTAATTTGAAAACATGTTAACACTATCAAAACAAGAGAAAATAACATTCCCACTTCTCTTAGCAGAAAGCTCCCTTTTCCTCTTGCCTGCAGTGCTCTCCCCTCCTTGGATATGTTTTTCCTCTTCTACCTTTTCTTCCTTCCCCTTTCTTTCACTTTAAGATAAGGAATTGTGTTTTGAAATTTGTATGTGTGCATTTTGTATCTCCCCTTGTATTTTGGTATTTTTATCTGTGTGTGTGCCATAGCATTACATCTGCAGCTTATATTTTATACTCCTCACCTTTCAACTTTCAACTAAATGTGTTTAGTTTCATAAATAAGTTATACATTGTAACAATGTTAACAAGGGCAGGAATCAAACTGCCCTTCCCTATATCAGGCTGGCCCCTGAAAGAGCGAGTGAATCAGTGATTGAATGTGTAACACAGTAGCAGGTGTCATATTGAATGAAATAGTTGGAATGTTTGTAAAGGTTGCCCATTAGCCAGTTTCAGGAAGAAGATAAGATTTATCTCCTTATCTAGCTCATTGTTTTTGGGACTACGTGCAAAATGTCCTGACTTCGGTTAAAGTCTTAATTTAAATTTTATCTTTAGAAGTCTTTTACAAAGAGAGCAAATATCCTGAGTTCCGAGACATCAAACCCTAGGGCCTTTTGGAAAGATTGGTAAGAAAAGGGCATTTGCAGTGATATGGAAGTCTCCCCAAGAGTAATTTAAAATGCTCAACAAAGGCAAAAGAATCTGCTGAGTAAGATCCGAGCCCAAATTTGGGAGTAATGACAAGTTGAGTAGGAGGAGCCCACTGACGGCAGCTCACTCAATAAAAACTGTAATTTACTGTCCCAATTTGGAGGTGACTTCA